CTTAAAAACTTCCAGTGTTGGAGCATTTACAATTTCTGGAGGCAAATTGTTCCACTGATTAATTGTTCTAACTTTCAGGAAATTTCCCCTCAGTTCTAGGTTGCTCGTCTAGTTTTAATTAACAGTGGTCTTTTGTGTCATCCCTCAATAGAGTTTCTGCTGTGGGCCTGAACTAGTATGCTTTCTTTAATTTCTTTAATTCAGTTCAGTCATGGCTCAACTCTGAATCGATTCTAGGCTGCTCACATTATAGCAAAACAAGATAAAAGCACAATACTGCACAAAATAAATTGACAAGATGGGATCCAGCCACTCCATGCAAAAACATTCAAAACTTCTAGAGGCAAGTCGTTCCACTGATTGATTTTTCTAACTGTCAGGAAATTTCTCCTCAGTTCTAGGTTGCTTCTTTCCTTGATTAGTTTCCACCTTTGGTTAGTTTGCTTTTCTGTCCTGTCCTCAGCTGCTTTGGAGAATAGCTTGACCCCCTCTTCCTTGTGGCAACCCCTGAGATATTGGAATGCTGCTATCATGTCATCCCTAGTCCTTCTTTTCATCAAACTCAATATGCCAAGTTCCTGCAACCGTTCTTCATGTGTTTTAACCTCCAGTCCCTAATCCTCTTTGTTGCTTTTCTCGGCACTCTCTAGAGTCTCCACATCTTTTTTTACACCGTGGCGACCAAAACTGGATTCCTTACCATTGAAGCTGGCGTTTACCATCTTTCCCAGTTGACTTCTAAGGTAGTTGACAGTCTGGTTCAGTTCCTCTACTTGTTCATTCAATGCATTGAGTTGGTCCCTCTTCTCTGTGACTTTCCGTTCAGTGCTATCCAGGCACGAATCTGTATCTTGCAGGTTCTCCCACAGCTTATCCATGTCTGTCCTAAGAGAAGGAGGGCAACGTAAGGGCACAGGTCCCACTCCGCCATATGCTTTTTGGCCAAGATGTTCCTTTCAATAAAGGTAGGATATACAGCTGGTCCTCGACCTACAACCATAATAGAGCCCAAACTTTCTGTTGCTAACCAAGATAGTTCTTAAGTGAGTTTTGCCCCATTTTGCGATCTTCCTTGCTCCAATAGTTATATGAATCACTGCAGCTGTTAAGTTAGTAACATGGTTGTTAAGAGAATCTGCCCTCCCCATTGGCTTTGCTTGTCAGGAGGTTGCAAGGGATGATCTCTGGGACACTGCAACCGTCAAAAGTACATGCCAGTTGCCAAGCATCTGAATTTTGATCACATGACCATGGGGATGCTGCAACGGTTGTAAGTGTGAGAAACGGTCGTAAGTCACTTTTTTCTGGGCCATTGTAACTTTGAATGGACACTAAATAAGTAGTTCTAAGTTGAGGACTAGCTGTATATGAGACGTAGAGGCAAAATAATTCAGTGATCCCCTCATGGGGGACCCCCTTCTGCTTTAAAAGAAAAACTTCAAAGTCAAATTCAGTAGGATTTGAAAAAGAAAAACAAGGAAAGCCATAATTTAAGGCACTCAAACAAAACCAGATCAATGGATATTATACAACCATGAATAGGGTAGAGGACATGCAGCCAAGGGGTGGATATAAATGAAATACAGAAAGAAAATAATTCACTGATGTATATATCCCCATTATTCCTCTTCCTCTCTTTAAAGGTTTAGAATTTTAATTCAGGAAGACTTTTCAAAGGAAAGGATAGAGATCCGTGGTTTTCAAAAAGTCATTAAAATAAACCCTAGAATTATCATTATAGGTAAAGTTCCAAAATTGTATGAACTACCGTATTTTTTGGAGTATAAGAAGCACCAAGATTTTGAAGAGGCAAATTAAAAAAAGAAAGTTTTTGCACTCTGCAAACCTTTCAAAAACAGCCCCTTTTTTTCAAAAAC